TTCCTGTGTGCAGGTACACCCCTCTGGACTACGCCCTGCTGGGCGAGCACCAGGAGGTGACGCAGTTCATGCTGGAGCACGGCGCCCTGTCCATCGCCGCCATCCAGGACATCGCTGCTGCCTCCATCCAGGCCGTCTACAAGGGCTACAAGGTGCGGCAGGCCTTCCGCGAGCGCAAGAACCTGCTGATGAGGCACGAGCAGCTGCGCAAGGACGCGGCCAAGTGAGTCTCTCCACTGTCCCGCCGCACGGCACCCTGGGCCACCTCCGCCCCCTGCTGCCCTTCTCAGCATGGGCATCACTCACGACTGCCAGTTAGAGCAACACCAGCCATCCCTTGTTCTTCCAGTTGTGACGTCTCTTCTCCCTTTGGGTTTCTCTCCAGACTGCATCCCTCCTAATCTCTTTTAAGGTCATACGAGCCCAAAAAAGTGCGATTGGCGTGTGTAATTGTACTATAACATGCAGGAAACCTGGAAGTGAGATTTGATCCCATTTTGAAAATCACCCTGCTAGTCAAGCGGAAGCAGAAAGGCACCTGCTGTAGTTCATGAACAGCTAATTACGTACTGCAGTAGAGGTGGTCCTGGAATATTTTAGCTGGAATATAAACTGGCAGCCAGTGTGACTTCTGAAATCCTAGCCTGAGATGCCCAGGACCTATCAGAGGGGCTCACATGGCCACGCACAAATAAACTCTCACAGTCTGATCAGGTGACACTGCCAACACGTCTGCATTTACATAATGGCTTCTCCAAGCAGCATAACCAGGAAAGTTCCCTGGCCGTGTTCAGTTACGCAGGGGTTGTACAGCATCTGCGCTAAGATGAAGCCAGATTCCGAGCACGTTGCAGGCCAGGTTGTGTTTTTGGCATCGGAATCAAACACCAGCGCAAACTGGAAGGTGCTCATTTATCAGTATGCTAGGAGCGCGGGCTGCAAAATCCATATGGGCTACGAAGCCGGCAGTCACAATCCATTTGTATCGTGTCAATAGTTTTATTTGAAACGATTTGCTCTTATCAAAACCACAGGCAGAGAGAGTGAGAGGGAGTACAGCCCAGCCAAGTCCTGGAACAATTAGCGTGTGTTCAGACTCCCAGTTTCGATCACTCAGCTCAGCTGGGGCAGGGAAGGGGGGTTTTCTTGACAGATGGAGTTAAGACTCTCCTCTGACAGGCGGCGGCGATCTGACACAGAGCCACTCCTGACACCCATCATGGCAACTGATGATGACACGCTACATTACTAACCTGTCATTGGCTGCGCTCTGCGCTAATGCTCTGGCGATTGCAGCCGGGGCCACGTGCTGCCAAGCGCTAATTGGACAACATCGCGCCGTGGTGTGATATGACATTTACCAGCTGTCAGGGAGCAGGAGACGAATTGGGGGGGGGGGGCGAGGGGGGCAGGTAGTCTGTCAGAGCGGGGATGATAGCAGATCAAGGGAACAGTCTATTGTGTACCTGCCTGTCTGACAGCCCTGGGAGTGTCTCAGTGGGGGAAATAGAAATCAGCACAAAAAAACCCCCACTGAACTGAGATCTTAACTCCTTCACACACCAGCTTTGCACCATCTTGAAGGAAAGTTAGATCACCTGTTCCATGTACCATGGCTGCAAAAGCCACTTTAAAACTTTGTTCTTTAGAAAATTATGTTTTATAATCAACCGGTTAAAGCTATAACTTGTTCCATAATTATGTTTTCGTCAAACCGGGTAGGGCAGCATTTGTTATTCGTGATGTTTATGTGGTGTGCCCTTCATGGGTTCATGGGTGAGTGTCCAGTACCCTCTGTCCCATTTGCCGACCCCAGCGTGCTGTTGTCTTCGCTGACAGGAAGCGGGAGGAGGAGCAGAGACGCCGGGAGGCGGAGCAGCAAGGTCTGGAGGCGGGGAAACCAAGCCAGGGGGCTTGGCAGCAGGGTCAAGAGGAGGAGCGGCAGGGTCCGGTGGACAGATTGGAACCGAAACTCAGGTCCCTGTCGGTTTCGGACAGTGGCAGCAGGGCTCCTGGGGTCCACGCCACCCCGAAACCTTTTGGGGCAGAGCACAGTCACAACACAAAGGGCAAAGTTGGGGAGCCCTGTCGAAACAGAGGTACTGTGATCCACAACAGAATTTGGTTCCATATCTTCATGTCTGTTACAGGATAAATCAGATATCATGCATGATCCAGTGTTATTGTATAAAGTGGGTACTGTATCATTAATTCTGTTACTGAGTCACTCCTTAGGCCTTGAGCACTCCTGAAGGACCATAGCTGTACCACTCTTTCCTAAAGCTCTCTCACTGCTCTCTCTCTCTGTGTCATGCTCCATTCCTGTCCCTTTGTTTATTTGAGCCAGCAGCCATATCACCCTGCAACTCGCAACTGGCAGCCCACTGAAGCTCAGCAGATGTGAGCCTGGTCAGTACCTGGATGGGAGACCTCCTGGGAAAAACTAAGGTTGCTGCTGGAAGAGGTGTTAGTGGGGCCAGCAGGGGGCGCTCACCCTGCGGTCCATGTGGGTCCTAATGCCCCAGTATAGTGATGGGGACACTATACTGTAAACAGGCGCCGTCCTTTGGATGAGATGTAAAACCGAGGTCCTGACTCTCTGTGGTCATTAAAAATCCCAGGGCTTTTCTCAAAAAGAGTAGGGGTGTAACCCCGGTGTCCTGGCCAAATTTCCCATTGACCTTTATCAGTCATGGCCTCCTAATAATCCCCATCTATGAATTGGCTTCATTACTCCTCTCCTCCCCACTAATAGTCAGAACGCTGATGTGTGGTGAGCGTTCTGGCGCACTATGGCTGCCGTCATAGTGGGTGCTGTTGGGTGCTGCACATTGGTGGTGGTGGAGGGGAGTCCCCATTACCTGTAAAGCGCTTTGAGTGGAGTGTCCAGAAAAGCACTATATAAGTGTAAGAAATTATTATTATTATTATTTCTCTGCCCCTACTTGTCCCTTTCTCTTTATTTCCTCCTATTCTTTCTTTTCATCCCTCAGAAGATGACCCCCCTTTCTCATGGTGTTCCTTTGTCCAATCAGAACGCAGGAGCAGATCTGCCAAGAGCGAGCAGAGGGGGAGGACTGCTGACGTTCGAGCTGTGCCTGTCCTGCCCCCCAAACCTGCGGCCCTAGCCCCCCCCGAGAAGGACACTCCCCTCTCCCCTGGCCCCTCGAAGAAGTCTCCTGCTTCCTGTAGGAAGGGATCTGTGGACAGGGGTGAAGAGGAGGCCCACTCAAGACCAGCGCGCCAGACAGGAACCCCCCCAAAAACTACCAAGGGTGCTTCTAAACCAGAAGGGAAGAGTCTAAACAGCGAGCGTCACTCCCCGGCAGGCTCCAGCAGGCCAGGTAGTGCCAAACCTGGCACCCACACGGCGGTGCCAACCCCCAAACTGGCCGCCCCCGTCACCCACACCCCCACCCAGAACACACAGCTACCTCCACTGGCACCCCGCCACCCCCGGAGCCAGAGCCACCCTCCTCCCTGCTCGGCCCCCCGGCCCGACCGGCCCCTCCCTGCCCCGCTCCCGAAAGCCCCCGCGGGACCCTGGACCAGCGGCAGCGTGGAGCTGGTACCCCTGGAGCTGCGGCTGCAGGTGGTGGAGAGGGAGAGGAGCCGCAAGGACCTGTTCAGGAGAAAGAACCGGGCGGCCAGCACCATCCAGGAAGCCTGGAGGAGGTGAGGGATCTGCGCGTGCCGCTATTACTGACAAACACTAGCAAGCAACTACCGCCCAGCTGAAAGAAAAACATCCACCCAGTTCCTAACCGCTTCATCCAGTTCAGAGTCGCAGGGGAGCCAGGGCCTATCCCAGAAAGCAACGGGCACAAGGAGTACACACAGACACACACGTGCGCACACACACACACACAGATGCACACTCACAGGGATCATAGTAGGGCAGTGCAGAATGACCTTACAATTGGCATTGCTGCTTGTGATGTTTATATATTTTAGATGGACGGGACTTTATGTATGTAAATCTTTTCTTCTTAATTTGTTCATTTAACTCTTGTTCCTTCAATGGACTTAACTCCATTTTTTCCACCTGCTGAAAGCTAACACTTTAGCTTTCCCTCAGATTTAGAATGTTTAAAAAATGTTTTAGATTTTATAACTGAGTCCCTTCCCTACTGATGAAGTGGAGGCAACGACTTATCTTTCGGCCGAAATGATCAAATTCAGTCAAGTGATCGATGACAAAGATGGATTGAGAATCATCCATTAAAAAAAAGTCAAAGTAAGGGAAAGTTATCACAGTATATGATAAGAGTCTCCGATCAGATTCCTAATATAAACGATCCTGTACTCTACGCGGTCAGTGATTTGGCATTTACAGAGTTTCCAGAAAGCAGCATTTGATAAGAAGTGTGCCCACTCAAATCTGAGGCTGAGCAGTGAGAGTCTGTGTTGATTAACTAGTACTGTTCCACCTGGCAGGACAGGAAGCAAGCCGTTGGCTCATCCAACGATTGAATGCACGACTGTTTTTAACTAAAATAGCAGGTGTCCCTTGGAAAATGTCTCCATTGGCTCCTCTCCTGTTGATCATTTTTATTGCCCCCCTAGTAATCCCAGTGTTCAGCTCTGCTGTCTACACCTCCCTACTTGACGACGAAGACCGTGCCGCAGAGCAAGGGCAAGCCCGCCTTCCCCAGTCTTAACCAGCAGGCCTTTGTGTCCAGCGTGCAGCACATGAGCACAAATGAGGCCTCACATCACAGCTGTGGGGGAGGGGGATCGATAAGCCATTTGACTGGAGTTACAGAGAGAGAGGCCTGGCGCTCAGCATGGGCTGCAGCTGGGAGTGCTGTCTATGGCTTTATAATGACGGGCTCGGTGATCGATAGGGACGACTTGGGCAAGCGCGCTCTGGCGAGGGGGGGTGATGCAGAAGACAGCAGTGACTGGTCATAAAGGCTGATGGTGGTTGTTAAATATGAGCAGCCTTGAAGCAGGGGTAATTTACACTGCCATTTTCTGTCAAGGTTAAATGGCTGGGAACCTGCGGTCCTCACCAGCGGTGTCGCATTCCCCTGTCACTCCAGTCAGACCCACTTTGACTCCACCTGGGGGCTCTGCTGGCGCAGTTAGCGCAGACATCCGAGTCTCAGATGATCAAATGCCACATCATGCCGCAGAACGCAACATAGAAGAGGAAAAGTGGTTCAACCACTTACCCGATCCTCTGATGCTGCAGTCCAAAACAGCAGATGCCTCTGCTCCACCATGTTATTTCAAAGGCTGATCCTGCAAGCGCTCCCAGGATCCATTCCATCGGCATTTGAGCGTGATCTGAGAAAAACCCTTGAGCAGGGTTAGATCACATCAAAACCCCAAACATGGCACTGGCGATCCTACAGTAACATACAATTATTTCTATACGAATGGAGACCCATCGGGCTTGTTTGGTGAACACATACATGTGTATTTATCTTGTGGCATGGACTTGTACATCCTGTAAGGCCCTGATGCCGATTCGCAGGCAGGAGGTTGACATGAATATGCCAGGTGTGGGAGAGTTGTGGAAAAGCTGGATGAATGGGAATTAGGATCAGTGGATCAGAGGAGCTAAATAAGTGACAAGAGCCGATCGGTGGAGGCTGTGTTTTCCCCATCCGAAATCATTTTTTTTATGTTTGCTCATACGTCTCGATTTGTCTTGTCTTCACCTTCTCCTCTGAGTCTCGGTGCTCTGAGCTGATCGGAATCTTAGAAAAACTCTTGATCTGGCCAAGTGGCATTAACGGGGATGCTGCTGTGTAGAAATGGCTGGAGTACACACTGTGAGAACTGGCCATCACATAATAACAAGATAGTGCATATACACAAGCATGTTCGTATCTGGTGGCTGAGGCTTGTACATCCAGTTGGTCCAGATCCCAGAAGGTTGATGTGAATACCTCGTGCGTGGGCATGTTGTGGCAAAACTGATGGGAATTCGGATCAACACGTTGCTGTGGGACTAAAGTTTTTTTACCCTGGAGTGATGGTCAGACCATGGTTGTCCCATAGTCTCCTTGTTGAGGAGCCAATTAAGTGACAAGGGCCGATCAGGGGAGACTGTGTTTTCCCCCCATCGAAAATCGTTTTGTTTCATCATTCCCCTCGATTTGCCGCTGTCTTGTTGTGCTCGTCTCCATCCACCTTCCCCACCGAGTCTGTCGCACTTCTCTGTCTTCTGACAGTGATCTTCTTACAGATCTCACCAAAGTGCAGAAAGCTTTCAGTAACGGGCCTTGAAAATAGTCTCTCTTGTGGCTTGGAGACATGTGGTGCCCATGTGCGCCATGATCCTACCCTGTCCTTGCCACCTTCATTCTCTGTGACCAGACGCCTACTTACACTTCAACACCTAAGGAGCTGGAAGAAAATGGGGTTTTAATTCAAAGAAGCATTTACTTTTAACGAGAGGCTAAAAGTTCACTGTTGGGCCCTGCAGCGTGCAAGGCACGGTAATTGTTTGCACAAGGCTTTTGTTGATGCCAAATGTATCTGTGATTTCTGGTGTTCTTTCACAGAACTGAAATTTCTTCTTTTTTTACAACACTGTACAGCACTCGGCATCAGCATTTTACAGCACTTTAACAGAAATGCTGTAACTGTCTTTTTATAAATGTAGTCTGGCAACATTCATTCCTGTATACAGAATTGTTTTTGTATAACATGTATGCACTTAAGAACATTTACAAGAAAGTTTACAAACAAGAGAACATGCAGGCCATCTAGCCCATTTGGTAGTTAATTGATTCAGGAATCTCGTCTAGCCGTTTCTTGAAAAAAACCAGGGTATCAGCTTCAACAACAAGGCTGGGTAACTTGTTCCACACTCCCACAAACACAACAAAGTAAAGAAGTGCTTCCTGTTCTCAGTCTTAAATGCTCTTTCATGCAGTGACCTCTGGTTCATGTTTCATGGTTCATTTGGAAGAAATCTGCTGGGATGTCTTTAAGGATCTTGAATATGTGAGGTCCTCTCGTAATCTTCTCTTTTCAAGACTAAAAAGGTTCAGTTCCTTCAGAATATCCTGAGTGTAGGGCATTCCCTTAAAGGGAAGTCCTCATTTCTCATACTGGTTTTTAAATCTTGGAAATTCATTGACCTTATAGACTGTATAAGGTATATATTCATTGACTGTGGAGAGAAAAATGACTTGTTTTGAATTCAGCTTCAAAGCGGGAAAAAACTGTAAGTGGCCATGTTGTCACAGATCCCTGGTCTCGTCACGGGAAAGAGTGAGAGTTTGCACGAGTGTGTGCACGAATAAGAACAGGTTGTGCAGCAGACATTTCACCTCAGAATTCCGACGTGATCTGCATGCAGAGTTAACAAGAAAGTAGCGCTAATTGGAAAAAGTGTCTCAAAGTCGAGAACAGTATTTCTCTTGGATTAAATGAGATGTATTCACGATCCTGCTTGTTCACAACGTCATAGGGCTGTTTCAAGTCACCGGATGTTTTCTTGCCTTGACCTGAATCGCAGAACACGGTGCTGCACATACCTGGAAATTTAGTCTATTTTGTGGTGTAAATTGGAAGTTTTACACGTTACTGTGTACATTTTACTTTTATTGTGGTTTGAGCTGCACTCATCAATGCTGATTCTATCTAACCCTAAAATATAAAAATAGTGCTGTAGTTCCTACTTAAAGCCCCAGAATATTTCTGGCTGCTCTTCTCTGGATGGATACCAGAACAGCAATGGTTTTTAGAATGTGGTGATCAAAATTGTACTCCAGTTGTTTTAGCTGTATGAACAGAAATCCGCATGAGTTTTTACAGTGTGCCAGAGGCTACTGCAGCACAGTCTGTAAAGATACTGATGCCCTCCCCCTCCAGCCCTGTTCACCCTGTGCCCGTCTCTGTCTCTCTCTCTGTCTGTCTCTCTCTCTCTCTGTGACTGCGTGCGCCTCAGATTCCACGTGCGGACTCAGCTGAGGGCAGCGATGCGTGGTGGCCCGATGGGAGCAGCGCCGGCGGAGGCCGCGGCCTTGCTCATCCAGCTGCTGTGGGGGAAATCGCTGTACTCCGGCCCCGCCCACATGGCGCCTAAGACCACACCCACCACCAGAGCCCTGCCCACCCGGGCCAGCGGGAGGAAGAGCTCCGTACTGCAGAGTATCTACGGTAAGAGACAAAACCCCACAGCCGGCAGCTAGCTAGTGTGTGAAGGTCATCTGCAATACCTCCAAAGCAACTAACAATGGAGCACAAAAGCGGAAGGGACTTTTGCTTCTCATTTAACATCTCCTAGGTTATAATTTGAATGGGAGATGGCCTTTTAGTCTGCTAATTTGCTTCTAGCTCATTGATCCTGTCATGCTTTCATCTGGGAAGTCAGTAAGGAGGAAACAGGATCCAGTTTTCGATCTGCACTGAGGAAAGCAGGTCTGACCTGGCATGAGACACGGCTTTAATTAATAATAATAGCTAACACTTATATAGCGCTTTTCTGGACACTCCACTCAAAGCCCTTTACAGGTAATGGGGACTCCCCTCCACCATCAATGTGCAGCATCCACCTGGATGATGTGACAGCAGCCATAGTGCACCAGAACGATCACCACACACCAGCTCTCAGTGGGGAGGAGAACAGAGTAATGAAGCCAGTTCATAGATGGGGATTATTACTGTAGGAGGCCATGATTGGTAAAGGCCAATGGGAAATTTGGCCAGGAGGCTGAGGTAACACCCTTACTCTTTTCAAGAAAAGCCCTGGGACTTTTAATGACCACACAGAGTTAGTACCTTGGTTTTACATCTCATCTGAAGGACGGTGCCTTTTTACAGTATAGTGTCCCCCCCTGCTGGTCCCACTAACACCTCTTCCAGCAGCAACCTTAGTTTTTCCCAGGAGGTCTCCCATCCTGGTACTGACCAGGCTCACACCTGCTGAGCTTCAGTGGGCTGCCAGTTGTGAGTTGCAGGGTGATATGGCTGCTTTAGGGATATTTTAAAAGCTTACCTGAAAAAAGAGATCCCAGTTAGGAGATAACACAGGACTGCTCCACTTACAGTACGCAGTCCTGCCAGACAGCAACCGGGCCTCCATTGTGACACACAGTCATGGAGACGTTACTGACTGAGTAAAACATTTATATGGGATACCCCATTTAATAAAGCTGTGGTCAGTTTTGTGTATTCATGCACCGCACCTTTTAGCACAAGATTCCCTCAGTCCCTAGACTGCATATTGTCATCACAAATGTCCAAATAAATAAATGTTAATTTAGGAATTGCAAACCAGAAAATGGCCGCTTTTCCTAGCAGGCACTATAGTCCTCAGCGAAGTGCTCAAGATCATGGGTCTCCCGGAGCACGGGGCCAGCAGGGGGCTCTGTAAGATTGTGCCAGGCCGCGCCCCCTCGCCCTGGACACGTCAGACGGCGCTCCGCGGTACCCGGGTCCCCAGCGCCACTCCCGCCGCCACAACAACAGCTGAGAGAGCGGCAGGTTTCGGTCGCGGCGCAGAGACGGCCTGGCCTTTAGCAGACATGAGCAGGTGATGAAGGGAGAGGACGGGGGGCCGGCTGCCAGCTCTCGCAGACAGAGGCTGCCTTCAGAGCCGGGCGGCTGCCCCACGCCGAGCTCCCCCGCCCCCCCACCCCCGGCCCGAGCTGACAGGCCTGGCCTGTGTGAAAAGTTCAGCGCTGTCAGCGGGAATGTCAGGGCACTGTCTGCAGCTCCGAACTGCACTCCACCTCCACTCACAAGACGACCCAGCGCCTGCCCAGAAGGGCTGCATCGGACGTTTGAAACTGTCAGGTTTACAGGATAATTATCCTCAGACTCACCTTGTTTTAATTAAGACGGTCAACGATACATCATATTTCTACCCTCATGAAATATGCTCCCGTACGTTTTCTGTGATCACAAGCCACTTTAGAGTTTTACGGTGCTGTAGTTAGCACCACAAATAAGAAGTCTTATTTGTTCCCTTAGACAGGATATGTGGAGCATTGGACTTGGGCTAAAAGACTCTCATATAAAGAAATAGTGTGTTAAAGCAATGTTAGTAAAGGCTTACAAACTATTGCACTACAGCTGTTCTACAACTTAATCAGAGTATGTAAACACACTACTGGGCCTCAGAGTGGTCTACTGACCCTCAGAGTGGCGTACTGACCCTCAGAGTGGCGTACTGACCCTCAAGAGCGTTGTACTGACCCTCAGAGTGGCGTACTGACCCTCAAAAGCGCAGAACGGACCCCAAGAGCGGCGTACTGACCCTCAGAGTGGCATACTGACCCTCAAGAGTGTTATACTGACCCTCAGAGTGTTGTGCTGAGCCTCAGAGTGGCATACTGGGCCTCAGAGTGTTGTACAGCAGGGGTGATGTAACTGCTACGCCTGCAGACCCAGTAATGGGGAGGTGTACATGTACGGTACGTTTGGCCCAAGGTTCAGTCCGCCATCACTGTGCCATGTTGGTCTCAAGTTTTCACTCCAGGTTACAGCCGTGTTTCTCCTGCTGGTTTTGTGTAACAGGGGGATCCCAGGCCAGGAGGGAGCGCTTAAGCAGAAGTGCGGTGCTGAGCTCTCGCAGCCACTCCCAGATCCTGCTCGACCTGTCCCTTAACCCGCCGCCTCGCTGTGAGTATGACAGTCTTCCCAGCTGTGATCCTGGAGGTGCACACACCAGCTGAGGTCTGCGTTACACAACTGAACCCTTCACTGAATTAATAACAGTTCAGTTTGACTGCTTTTAGCCTTTAATGCTCGGATGCTGCCATTTAACTGTTGCATTTCATAAACAACATAAAATTTCAAACTTTTATATAGAAAAAAAACTTCCAAATACTCTAAACAAGCAACTTATTAGTTCAATTAAGACTGCAATTAAGTAATTAAGCTCAAGCTGGAATGTAAACCAGCCGATGTGTGATCTCCAGCTCGGGATCTCCTGTACTAAGCAGTGAACCTTGCATCACACCTGCATGTGGCCTGTGGCAAGGTCTTGTCTGCAATTAACTGTCAATGTTTTATATAAAGATTTAGAGTAGATAGGGGCATTACTCTGAAGCAGGATTGCAGAATTTCAGGCTTTGAGGTTAATGGATATAGTCTGCTTTTAATGAGAAATCTTAAATATGTCAAGCTGAAACTATTTCCTTAACTGGACCAGTTGAGTGCAGCTGCTAAGTCAAAGAAGCCTCCAGTACAGAGTCTGCTGGAGCGTGATACCTCTTCAGGACTAGAATTGTGAAGCGCTCCATCAGAACTGGCCCTGCCACTAGGTGTGAGTGGTGTCCTACAGCTGTAGACTGCTTCTCCCTGTACACAAAGTACAGGAGGAGAAGAAATTATAGGTAAAAAAACTGAGATAATGGGTAATAGGCAGAGATTAAACTATACAGTGTATATGACAATAAAGATGTATAAAAATGGACAGAATAAGAACAGAGAGGAGGTGTAACAGCCAAGTCCAGCCCTGTGGTAATGTGTTCTGTGTGTGTTTTTCACACAGTGAGCAGTGTGGGGTGTGTGCACCTGTTGGAGAGCATGGGCCAGGCCAAGCAGTTCTCCTACCACATGAGGCCTCACACCGCTGCTCGCAGCAGCAAAACCAGGGAGAAGGAGTGAGACAGAAGGAGAGGCTCGGCTGTCCATCGTGACTTCAGGGATACACAGCGCACCAGCGGACTGGCACACACATGGCCTTCTTCACAGACCAGGCTCTCAGAGCAGTGGACAGGGAATGAGCCCCAGCAGCAACAATACTCACACAGCAGGCAGAACTGCCACAAGGACCGTAACCAAAACTAAACTCAAAGGACATTGGAATTTCCGAGAAAGTATATTCGTCGACCTGAGATCAGTGGGTATAGTCTTTCGTTCGTCCATCCCTGCACAAACTCTAGCCACATTGGTCAAGCTCAGGAGCACAAAATACCTTAATTTGTCCCTTAAGTATTCTTTGGCTTTAAGGGGGCTTGAGATGCAGGTTAGTTATCCTCGGGTAGAGAAAAATACATGTAAAATGCTTAGCACCTATGTAAATACATAAGGTGTTTTTGTGCCAAAAAGCCATGTGCATCATGAGTAAAGATTTTGGTTTAAACTAGGGCTACCTTTCTCCTTGTGTTAGCATGAGGAAGACTGATTGAGAACTTGCACAACTAGACACAAGACTCCAAGTAAAACACAGATAACGCCGGCCAGCATTTTGGAGGACCAGCTGTCTGCTCTACGCTGTGCAGAGTCGGCAAGAGGAGCCCAGTATCCCCCCCCAGAGACGCTTCGCGACACCATGACGCAGCGCCCAACCTGCGTTAAAATTCACATCTTCGCTGCACAAGCGATAACCTTTCCCGCAGCAGGCGTCTGTCAGCACCAGGTCATAGCGCAGTCACACCTGCAGGGCCGGGCGGAGCTCAGCAACACAGCTGCTGGTATTTCCTTTTGAAGAGCTAAGCATTTTAAGCAGCTGAGGCTTTGAGTCGGCTCATTCACCACAAAATAAATCTGCCGTTGGCTAATGTAGATTAAATTGAAGGTACAGACTCCTGTAATATACACAGTGAGAGGAACACTTACGTGCTTCATATATTATTTTTACTATCAGTCTATTGTATGATAAAGGTCAAGTTAATGGTATTTTATATACTTACAGAACAGAGTTATTAGCTTATACGAGTTGAACCGTGCCTACATTTAGTAAAACACCATGAGCACACTAGGAAAGTGGTCAAATTGAAATGCTTGTTCAGCATTTTTTTCATGAAGATAAATACTGAAAATTCAAAAGCTGGATTGTGTTACGAAGTGTTTTCATATTGTATAGCATTGATGTTTTTCCTGCATCATCATTCACAGTACAGCATATATTTTTACACACATCATTTAAAAAATCTCCAAGGAATTTTGCAAAGCTTCACTTTTTTTTCCCCCTTAAATGACATTTATTAAATTACCAACATACACTGGATCGGTATTTTCCGAAATGCAATCCCTTGGCCCTTCAAGGCAAACGACCATAAAAAAATCCGCTGAAAAGAGAAGAAGGCCGGCAGGCCCGCCTGTGGAGGACGTCAGCAGGCGTCGCGGGGCCCTGCCGCTCCCCGGTGCTGGCCTGACAGGGCGACGCTGTAGCAGTACAGCAGGTCAGTCAGCCACTGCTCGCGAGCCGCCCCCCGACAGCAGCGCTGCGGAGACACAGGACACGGGACCGGCTCAGAGCCGCACGCTCGCGCCGACCCGAGGGCCCCCGGGTCGAGCCGCGGCAAGCGGAGACGTTACGTACCGTGAGGTCCTGGACGAGGTGCTGCAGCAGGGTCGCGTTGGCCAGCATGTGGTTCCGGAGCTGGCTGTGCTGGAGCAGGAGCCGCAGCAGCTGCGCCACCAGGGGGAGCTCTTCCTCGCCGAGCTCCGACGCCTGCACGGCCTGCAGCACCAGCCGCAGCAGCCGCGGCACGCCCCCCAGGGCGCCCACACACGCCCCCCACACCGCCTCCCTGAGACACAGACAGACACGGGTCAGCTGCACTGCCAGATTTCCCACTGGCCCTTACCAATCATGCCTCCTAACAATCCTCATCTATGAACTGGCTTCTTCACTCTGTTCTCCTCCCCACTGATAGCTGGTGTGTGGTGAGTGTACTGGTGCATTATGGCTGCCGTCACATCATCCAGGTGGGGCTGCACATTGGTGGTGGTGGAGGGGAGTCCCCATTACCTGTAAAGCGCTTTGAGTGGTGTGATCAGAAAAGCACTGCAGGAGTGTAGGGAATTTATTTTAATGCTGATGCCATTATTTTGCCCCCCCACCCGGGTCCTGACCTTTTCTGCGAGCTGTCCTGGGCGGGCGGCTCGTGGTCCAGGGAGAGCAGCAGGGTCAGGAGGCTGAGGCAGCAGCTCGCCAGGAAGCGCAGCAGCTCCTCGCTGGGCAGCAGGGAGGGGCCCAGGAGCCGGGACACCGATCGCAGGAGGGCTGCCGCTGTGCTGTCGGGCACCACCTGCAGCCTCGCCTGCAAAGGCACGAGGCCGTGTGAGAGACAGGAAGGCGGAGAGACGCTGACTGCGTTGACCACACCGCAGGACTACTTTGTATGCCATAAATACCACAGAATATAAACTTCAGCAACACTCTGTTATCAACACTGAGATGCAGCGGCACCGTTTTACTGCCCTCAAACTCTCTCTTCTAATTCACACTTTATGGATTGAAACTGTTTTTCACAGTGGAAGACGGGTACCATGGGTACTCGTAAGTACAGCCATGAAAGAGATTAATCTCCACCTTCCACACGCAGTAGTCTAACCGCGTTCATCATCAGCTCTCTTTCAGTAACCGCTTATCCGATGCAGAGCTGCAGTGGGATCGCAGGAAGCTGTGGGTGCGAGGTGGGATAGACCCCGGACAGGATGCCAGTCCACCCCAGGGAACACACTGACACAAAATCACAGCAGAGCTGCTTTTTACAGCAGCCAATTATCTACTTAACCTCCCTGCATGTCTTTGGACTGGGGGAGGAAATCCATGCGAATACAGGGAGAACATACAAACTCCACCCAGACAGCACCTCAGCACCGATCTAGCCATGTTCTTCATCACTAAATAGTTCTAAACTATCAAGAGTGATTTTTACTGCTCACAGATAAGTGGACATCACTGCTGTAAAAAACAAACACTGACAGTGCCCAGCATTTTCAGCATCATTAGTTATCCTAGGGTAGTGAAAAATATATGTAAAATGCTTAGGAGGGATACATAAGGTTTTTTGGGGTCAAAAAGCCATTTGCACAGACCATCATGAGAAAAACCAAGATCTTAACCATGGATACCTTTCTCCTTGTGTTACCACTGAGAACTTTTAACCTGCACAACTAGACGTCAATAGATGTTTAGACTTCCACACTGCTTTACCAATACAGACAGGCATCGCATACAGTATATTAACTCAGCATCCCTTCCTCTGACTCACCAGGTTTTTACAGATGGCATTTTGCAGGATGTCAAAACACTGAGACCTGGACCCAACTGTCTCCAAGCAGTGACACACTTCCTGTGAAAAGGGAGAAAAGGAAACAAGGATGAAAGATGACTTTTTCCAAAGCAGGAGAGTTCTGCACATAATGATGTCGGTCACAGAAAAGGAATTCACAGGGGGGTGCTCACACCGTAAAATGCTTTTTATCTATTTTTAATCCTGCAGTGATTTACCTAGTGAAGAACTTTGCTTAAGGGCATCACAGAAGTGTCCCTGCAGGTATCTGAACCCAAAACCCTCTGTTCCAAGGCCCTAAAACTACTCCATGCTGCTGCCTGCAAAGCACTAAGCTACATGTTATAAACTTTAAAGCACAGCAACATGAAAACAGACAATGTAAAGTACTGCTGTTCCAAAATGCCTATGTCATAAATCCACTCAGTGCCACCTGAATGCCTGCACTTGGTTAAATGTTTGTAAATGAGAATAGTTTACAACAACTTTTTAATATTTTACTCCTTAAAGGGGCTTAAGAAGCTCTGTCTCCCCCAAGACACTGTTCTGGATGAAGTGCTCAGAAAATGGGTAGATGAATTCCTGTGGTGCAGGGAATGCAATTCCAGATACAGCCCACGCCAAGAGAACAATTTCTCTTTCTGCAGTACTGGTAAAGAATAGTCATCACTGTCCCAGATACGGGCTGTTTCCCTGGAAGTCAGACATACTGAGCATTTAAAGAAGCATCACATATGACTGAAACAAATTCTTAAAGTTATTAGGAACATATTTTTGGTTGAAGGTACACTGACATTTAATTCAACAAATACAGATAAATTCAACATATCATCTACTGCAAAAGTCACAAGCTATGAGCATGTGGAGCCATTCCTGGAAGTAATACAAGCTACGTACATGCTTTACACCAGATTGCAGATGGATTATACTCCCTTCCTCTCAAAGAGCCTAGACAAGCATTTGCCTGTTCACTGGTCTCTGAGCCCTAGATGTTACACGTCATGCAAAGGCCATCGGGTCTTTGGTCTAACAAAACCTTGGTCCAGATTCTACCATACCAATGGCATAAAGGTGCTGTTTTCTTTTTTTTCCCCCCACTCAAAATCTCACATTATTAAGGAATTTAGCATTTATGAAACTAAGTCAATTAAGCAAGTTAAGCAACAAGATGCCCAAACTTATTCAAATGCATTTTCTTTTTTAAAACAGATGTGTGCATACATTGAATACTACGTGTATTCTGATGCTCACTATATTTCGAAAAATAATGCACTTTCTTATGATGCTGCTGGTGCTGCTAGTTCCTACATGGGCTGGATTATCAAGACCTCTTTTCAAGAAGATACCTGTTCTTAATTAAGAAACCTCATAAGTTAAGTTAAAAAGCAAACAGATAAAAATAATTTACAGCTGGTCTATCTTTCCCTTGTCCTGTTCCATCCTCTCTCCCATCAGTAACGCACAGAGAGCCTTGACATTTCAGGACATTCATGCAAGAAAACCAAAAAACTGCCACTGCACAGTTACTTTAGTAAGACTCAGCCAGCATTAGAAAGCTACTTGTCCTGGTGCAGGGGCTGCAGCACCCCAGAGCCTGTCCCAAAATCATTAAAAGAGAGCGAGGCAGGACCCCAGGCCCATCTCAGAGCGCCTGAGTAAGAGGGCTCTCAAAAACGGTACAATCTAATAGATCATACAGCCGCAACACAGCGCCAATTTTAAATAAACTCCACAGGCTTGAGAAGTAACAAATTATATGGGAAATCAGGGGTGTTTTCACAACGGAAGAGGTTTTTTGAAAATTCATAGAAGTTAAACTGCCTCTGTTCAGCAAATACCAAGTGAGGCTGGCATTTGATGCAGCTTCATTAAATCTGGTGTGAATAACTTGGGAGCAGAGAAATGAACGGGAAACAGATTCATGCTTTAGAAAGACTAAAAGAAGGGATAAAGACTTCAAGCTTTGAAGTCTACAAAACTAAAAAACAGACCAAATTAATTTATACCTTTTATGACTTTTAATATAGTATGTATAAACAGAAAACCTGTCAAAATTACACATTTCTAAATGAATGATAGTCAAATTCTTGGCAGTATTTTGTGAACCTTCTTTTGTCTTTCATAATCACAAGAAGGTGCTTCCTGTACATTTTAAAGGGTTTTACTCCTCATGAGGGATGTTCAGCCTCTTCCCTATTATATAGTCCTGTAGTGACAAAGCTTCAGTTTCCTGACAAGAGATACCAGTTAATGGCTAGACATTGCGAAAAACTTTGGAACCTGTCCCTCTGTTCTAACTACAGCACCAAGAGAGGATGCAATCAGTATATATATATTGTTGTAAGTGCAGAGTTATGTTAAAATAATGTAAAATTGTACAAAGTACTAATAAACATTTAGTTTATTCTGGTCTCCACATTCCACAAGAAGTATTGCGGTTATTGTATCAGTTCAGAGAAGAGAAATGAGATATATTCCAAAGTTTAAAGGAATGTTCTACATTGACAGGCTATAAGAACTCAGCCTTAAAGACAAGTATTCACAATTCTAAAACACACTGATCTGTCAAACCAGAGAACTTCTTCAGAATCACCAGTGAAACACAGATCAGAGAACATGGGTAGAAACTACGTGAAAGTACATTTAAAACATTTGGAAGCACTTCTTTGCCCCAAGCTTTGGGGGATCATGGAACAAGCTACCTAGCCATGTTGACGAAGCTGATAACTGGACACCTGGATGAGATCCTCAAATCAATTCATTTATCAAACAGGCTAGACAGGCTAAATGGCCTCCTCTTGTAACATTTATGTAAAGTAGTTAAGTAATAAAAAACTTCTACACGAAGACTTTGATTTTCATTATCCTTTGTGCTAATCGTACATCTGTTCAAAGCTCCATCAGTGTTTCATTCACCACTACCATGTGGTCCCATTAGACGAAGGAAGTCTGGTAGAAGCTGTTAATCAAACCTTGTGTCTTTTCTTTGTCGCTATGGAACTCTCACGGGGTTCCTGAGGTAAACCTCAAACATTATCTTAAAGAAGGCACTGAGCCCTGATGAAACTCTTTGTTTTCTGAAGGTTCCCAGTTGTAGCCCGGGGATGTAAATTATTCTCCAAACCACTTTTCTGACCTCATGTTTGGGGTAAAATGTTCTTACATCCTCTTTCTGGAGGGGTAGCGACCATCACATCAGATACATTAAACACCAAAGTCAAAACTGAGACGTCATGTGGTTTTTCATAGCCACCACTATGGTCAATAATCTTTTCAATTAGATCTGACACTTCTCCGATTTTCCCCATGTTAAAGTGGTTCTGAGAGTTTTGCTTGTTTTCAGACTCCTTAAACAGCCAGTGGCGATCAAGGTGACATTCCAGAAGCTTCTAAATATTTTCAGTGAATCTATCAGGTAAGTCTACGGCATATTCGACAATTAAATGTATAGCAATTATGCTTAACCTTTATAAGGCATGAACATTATGTACTTTGAAAAACAATTATTTTTATAGTTGTACTTTTTTATATATTCAGTACTCCTATTCATACACAATTACATTTGACATCATAAATGTTGAAGCATCTTGATATACACCTGTAGTATTTCTAAATCAACTTGTCAGCTCATCAATAATAAGAATAGATTCAAGGGCTATTGTATAGGGTTTATATGTATGAGACTTATTTCGCAATAAATACCAAAGACAGTATGAATAATTTATGTCCAGGTAAAGAAATATCCACTCAGGACAGTAAGGGGGACATGGAAAGCAAGGAGCTGTGGACAGTGGGTCAGAAAGAAGACAATACAAACCAATAGAAAAACATTTGCTCAGAGCACCACTGTAGGAACCAGCTCTCCCAGACATTACAAATGTTCTATTTGTCTGGATTACAAATACTGCAGGTGCCAGAGGCACCAGCTGTTTCCAGGAACTGAGTCTCAGCTGAAAACTATAGGAGGGTGTGAAGCCTCACTCAAATTCAATTTCTGTAAAGCCTCTTTGCGGCAAGGTATTTCATTACAGGAATACATGCTGCTGTAGCAGCGTCACTGAAACGGTCATTCCCATTCCACAAATGGAAACGAACCAGAACGGACAGCCCTGTATCACAATTGCCACTTCTCTCTCTATATATATATCATCTTGACCCAAGCATTTCACATTGCCAGTTATGCACACCTGGCCACAACAGTAACAGACCCAGGTAAGTTACACTATAACATGGGTATTTTCAGGAGGTACCTCTGCTGCAGACATGCAGGGGGCACTTACTTGACCTCCTGCTAAAAAGGACTTTAAGCCGAGTGTGGAATCCTACGATCACTCAGTTCACGAGGACGTGAAGGGCAAATCTGATTATGCTATGACTCATGCTGTTAGCGATATAGGCTATGGGAAAGGGTACAAACAAAAGGCTTTTAGTATAGTATTCCTAGTGCTGGAGTCTCCACCCTCTTATATTCAGGTATCCCAGCTTTAGGTTCAAACTGAAAGCGTCTTTCTGAATGTTGATTGACTGGAACGCCAGAAAGCTTTTTTTTCTACTCATACTTTTGGAACTGAAATGCAATAGTTAAAAGGCAAACCTCCAGCATGTTTAACACCTGAAAACAGTTCAAATGAATCCTATCATGAAGTGAATTAAGAGCGTGCTGGGCTGGAATGCAGGTGTCTTCCGGGACCAGGATCGGGAAATCCAGATCTAGAGCACTGTGGAGATCCTCAGCCACAAAGCCAACCAGGGAAAAAATCATAATAATGATAACATCACTTTATTAGCCCTATACAATTTCTTGCATTAGGAATTCATATTTCCGCATACCCCAGCTTGCTCTCCATGAGACACAGACACGCAGACAGGGAGAAAAGCTTGGGGTCAGACATTGTACAGGCCCCTGGAGCAGTTGTGGTTAAGGGCCTTGCTCAGGGGCCCACAACAGAGCAGGATTCCTCTGCCAGCTGCGGGATTTGAACCGGCAACCTTCCAGTCACAGGCACAGATCCTTAGCAACAGAGCCACCGCTCCACACAACAAAAATCATTTGTAGGGCA